TTAACATTGGTTTTAGGTTAGTTATTTGGGGTCAGTTTCCAGGTTGGTTTGGAGTTTTTTTAACATTGGTTTTAGGTTAGTTATCTGGGGCTATGGGGGACCAGATGTCTCGATTTTATAAGGACCGTGCTGATATTCAGGGCTTTGTCTAATATCCCCACCTATTACTTTCCACCCCTGTCCCGGTTTGTCACACTTGCTAGTTGGGGTTGGTTGACGGCTTGGGTTTTTGGACATTTAGTGCAATTACTTGGGCTGAAACTGGGATGCCCGGGCCGCGGGCAGGTCACACTGGCTCTGGGCCCTGGTACTTTCAAAGAAGTGACGCGCGCGAGTGCGTTTCGCTGCAACCAATGGGACAAATCCAAGCGGGTGCAGAAATCCGTGCCAGGCTCGGGGCCTTGAGGGTTTGCGTGAGCCTTAGCATAAGGGTTCCCAGAACTGGGCTCAGATTTCATGTAGCACGATGCAGACCAGGCCCCTCGTTACTTTAATAGGTTCAGATTTTTTATAAGAGCTTGGTTTAAAAAAAAATCTCGGCTGGATTTCTTGTTTTTTAGGCCCAACAAGAAGAGTTCCTGTTTCCCCGGGAGCTGGAGGTTTGTTCCAGCCTCGGGGTTTCCTGGAGGAAGTTGGAGCAGGGAGTGAATTTGGCGCAGCCTTAAAATGTTTGTTCCCCTTTGCCCCCCCACCCCACACACACACAGATAAAGCGGGATTCACTCCCTGTTCTCTAGGGCGCCTGGGCTGGGGCGGGGGCAGACCGAGAGCAGAAGAGTTTGTGGTGTGTGTGTGTGTATGTGTGTGTGTGTACATTTTGTGTGGGGAGGACTCTGTGTGTGTACATCTTATGAGGGGAGGAGTGCGTGTGTGTATATCTTGTTTGGGGAGGAGTGTGTGTGTGTATATTGTGTGTACATTGTGTGTGAGGAGGATCTTGTGCATGTGTGTGGTGTGTGTACATCTTGTGTGGGGAGGATCCAGTGTGTGTGTGTATTGTGTGTACAATTTTGTGAGAGGAGGATCGTGTGCATGTGTGTGCATGTGTACATCTTGTGTGGGGAGGATTGTGTGTGTGTACATCTTGTGGGGGGGAGTGTGTGTGATGCACATTTTGTGTGGGGAGGCTTGTGTGTGTGTGTGTATTGTGTGTACATGTTGTGTGGGGAGGATTGTATGTGTGTATATTGTGTGTACATTGTATGTGAGGAGGATCATGTGCATGTGTACATCTTGTGTGGGGAGGGGAGGATTGTGTGTGTACATTTTGTGTGGGGAGGATTGAGCGGGTGTGTGTACACTTTGTGTGTATATGTTATGAATAAGTTTGCATATTTTGTTGGTGTGAATGTACACATGTTTTGTCCGTGGGTGTGTTCCACACACACTCTCTCTCTATGTATATTGTGTGTGTGTGTGTGTGTGTGTGTTTATGCCTCTTATGCTTGGGTGTAGTGTACACAGAGGCAAATCAGACACACAGGAGATATATATGTGTCTTTGTGTTTACCGTATCTGTGTGCATTTGTGTTTTATATGTGTGTGAGGATGCATGTGTATGGGTTGTTGTGAATGCTTGTGTTTGCGTGGGTGTGTTTTCAGTGTGTGTGTATAATTATATGGAATAGTATGTTGTGTGTGTAGATCTGTGATGAGGCTTCTGATGAGTGTGTTATAAGTATGTGGATGTGGGGGTGGTATGTTTTTGTGCGTATATTTTGTGGGTGTTGTATGGTGTATATACAAACACACACAGCGCAGGACTCATCCCCTCCAGCATGGGGTGGCAGGGACACACACACACACACCATAGATTTTTAGGTATGTTCTCCTGTGGGGTGTGATTAAGTGTGTGTAACCACATAATTTAGTGTGTCTATCAGTGGTATGCAGAGGTGTTTCTGGGAGTGTGTGTTTGTAATTATGTGTGTGGGTGTGTGTATAACTGTATGGGTTGCAGTTTGCTGTGTGTTGCTGACTGGCTGCAGTGTGATGTTTGTGTGGGTGGGTGGGTGGGTTGGTGGGTCTTGTAGGTGACTCTAAGGGTACGTGACTGTGTGTATGTGTGTGTGTCTGAGCCTGCTTGTGTGCACCTGTGTTGCGCTGTGTGTGTGTGTGTGTGTCAGTGATTTGTGTGTGTGAGAGGCTGTATCTCCAGCACTCAGTATGAGTGGCTGATTGTGTGTGTGTCTGTGTGTTCTGCACAGAAATCCCGGCATGCAAGTAAGTGTACACACACCCCTCTACACCTGGAGGTGATTCCAATACTAGAGTGGTTAGAGCCGGAGGGGGGGGGCTGGGAGCCAGGACTCCTGGGTTCTCTCCCTGGTTCTGGGAGGGGAGTGGGGTCTAGCGGTTAGAGCGGGGGGAATTTGGAGCCAGGACTCCTGGGTTCTCTCCCTGGCTCTGGGAGGGGAGTGGGGTCTAGTAGCTAGAGCAGGGGGGTTGGGAGCCAGGACTCCTGGGTTCTCTCCCCAGCCCCAGGGTCATTAGGTCATGAAAAGCATTAATAGCGGGTGTTGGATTCTGTGTGAGAACTTCCAGGTATCGGACTCAATCAGTCACCTGCTCTGAGCTGCCCCTCACTCCCGACCCGCAGCCCCAGGCTCCCCCCACCCCCGTTTTCATTGACCCCCCCCCCTTCTCTCCACAGATGATCCCGCGGGAGGGACCCCGGTGACCAGGACGACTCAGCAGGGAGTGGGGGGAGGAGAATCCGGCCTGGGCAGCGCGATGGTCCCGCTGTGCTGGCCCTGCCTGCACTGCTGCCCGTACCCCCCGGCAGCCATGAGCGGGCCCCCCGCCCCGCAGCCCCCCGCCCTCTCCTACCACTACCGCAGCTTCTGCGGGGACTTCGAGCGGGTGGAGACGGCGCTGGAGCGGCTGGAGGCCAGCGGCTTCTACTGGGGCAGCCTGTCGGGGGCGGAGGCCAAGCGGCTGCTGAGCCCCCACCCGCCGGGGGCTTTCCTCGTCCGCGACTCCTCCGACCACCGGCACCTCTTCACCCTCAGCCTCCGCACCGGGGCCGGCATCACCAACTTGCGCATCCAGCAGCAGGGAGCCGCCTTCCACCTGGAGACCCAGCCGGGGGCCCCCTGCCCGCCCGCCTTCGCCTGCGTGGTGCAGCTGGTGGAGCACTACCTGGGGCGGGCCGGGCACCCGGGGGCCCCCTGCTACGTGGAGGCCCAGGGCAGCCGCCCCGAGCCCCTGGCGCTCGCCCGCCCGCTGCGCTGCAAGGTGGCCTCGCTGCAGGAGCTGTGCCGGCGGGCCGTGCGGGCCAGCGTCCGGGCAGGGACCGGGGGGCCCGATCTGGAGGGGCTGCCCGTGCCCCGGGCCCTACGCAACTCCCTGCGCTGCTAAGGGGGCCTTGCCCAGGCCCTACAGAACTGTCTGCACAGATGGAGGGGAGAGGAGTGAGGGGGGACCCCTGGCCTGCGCTCAGTATCCCCCCAATGCTCATGCGAGGCAGTTGGGGTACAGGGAGCCCCCCCCCGTAACTCAGGCCTTCTCAGTACAGCTGGGGGAGGGGAGGAAACCGGAGAGTGGGACCCCCTCTAGGACACCCCAGGGTTTTCCAGCACAGTGGGAGGAAGACCGGGGAAGGGGTCTGTACCCCACAACCTATGGAAAACCCAGCACCGCAGGGCGGGGAGAGATGGGGGGGAGCAGATTGGCACCAACCCCATGGCCGCTCCGGAGTGTGGGGGAGATGGGACTGGAGGGGGAGAAAGGCCCGGAGTGGATGGGAGAGGGGGCTCTTCAGACCAGGGCTGGGACCCAGGGTAAGAACTGGGAGGGAGACTCAGGAATTGGTGGGGGCTGGGAGCCAGGACTCCTGGGTTCTCTCCCTGGCTCTGGGAGGGGAGTGGGGTCTAGTGATCAGAGCAGGGGGGCTGGGAGCCAGGCCTCCTGGGTTCTCTCCGCAGCTCTGGGAAGGGCATGGGGTCTAGATAACGTCTATTCCCGGAGGAGCCAGATTGGACCATGGCCCCACAGTGGGGCTCCCACCTCATCCCGCCAGGGGCGCTCGTGGCCCCGTTACCGCCAGCTGGGCCGGGCCGTGGGCCAGGCTGCACGGGGGGCTTGTACCGCTGCATCGGGATGGAATAAACCTGTCTGCTGCATCCTGCCTCCCGCCACTGCTTTGGGGGCTGCCTGGGGCCTGGGAGATGCAGGGGCAGTCCCTCAAAGCACCCACAAATCAGAGCCACTGCTCCCTAAGGGGGAAAAGCCCCATTCCCCCTGAGCCAGGCAAGACCCAGGCCTGGGACCAGAGGGGAAAAGGCCCGGTGCCCTATTCCCTGCTAGCTGGTGGTGGCTGCAGCTCAGCGCTGGTTGAGGGATCCTCTGTAAACAACCCCGCCCCACCCCAGAAGCTGCTGCATCTAGGAGTGACCCCATCCTGACCCCCTTCCGCGCCCGGCTGTTCCCGTAAGGCTCTTGGCACCACGACCGCTGACTCAGGGGAGCAAAGTTACTGAAAACGGGCTCAGCGGTTCAGAAAAAAACCCAGCTGCTTCCGCCGCTCTGGCTTTCGCTTCCCCCCCGCGGCCGGGTTCAGGGGCAAGATCGGGGGTGAGGGGAACCGGCAGCACTGTGCCATTACAGCCCAGGGCTGGCCCCCCGGCTCAGTTCCGGCCTTTCACCTTCATTTCCCAGCAGAGGCCGGCCCTGGACCCGCCTCCCTCTGGTGGGTGGGGCACCCCCAGCCAATACAGCACCAGGGATCACAGTGCCAGGCGCTGTGGGCACAGGGCAGGTCTCTCATCCCCATCCCCTGAACCAGCCCCCCATAAAGCCACTGTCCTGCCAGTTGCTAGAGCCCCCTTCTCAGCCTGTGAGGATTGGGGGATGAGCTAAGAACAACCCTACCCAGTTACAACAAAGGTTCATTAGCCCAGGATCCTGCCTGGTGGCCCAGTGGGAATGAACAGAACAGGTAATCACCCCACAATCCATCCCTGGTGCCCACTGCCAGCTTCAGGCAGGGAGCGGAGCGGGGTGTAGCTCAGGGCAGCCTGGCATCCCCAGGCCCCATGAGGCAGGAACCAGAAGAGGCCCAGCCTGGCAAGCAGGGGGGAGGGTCCCACCTCAGAGAATGGGCCCTTTCCCTCCCCACAGCCCCCCAAGCCATGGCACCCCCCAAACCCATATGCCCAGCCCCCAGCTGACAAGAGCAAGCAGTGAACGAAATCCCCCTCGCCCAAGGCTTGGCTGAGACAGCATCAGGGTAGGGAGCAGCGGGGGGGGGGGGGGGGCTGGGCCCCGGGGGCCCATTCAGGGGGGGGGGGGGAGGGGAGAGGAGTAGAGTATCCCACCCTAATATCCCCCTCTAACCCCAGAACCGCCCCTGCAGCAAAGTGGAGAACCCAGCCCCCTTGGCCCAATTCCAACCCAGGGCAAACAAGCCCAACTCCTCCCCCTGAACACCTGCCTGTTGAGCAAGGGGACAGTTTTCTAGAGCTCCCCCCACTGTTTCCATGGGGGGGGGGGGGGCGCGCCCGGCAGGGAAAACCCCGGTTTGTGACCGCCCCCCCCTATTTCCCCCTCCTCCCCCCCCCCCCCGGGAGTTGCCTCCACCCCCAGTGCAGAAACAGGCAGCAGGTCCACCCCGGTTTTATTTCCAAGGGCTGGTGCAGCCTCCAGGCCGGGGGAAGGGTAAGCAGCAGGCAGGACAGGGCTCATTTCCAGACACAGCAAGCTGGGGAACTACCCGCTGCAGGGTGCATGGCCCAGGAGACAGCTGCAAAGGGCCGCCCGCTCACAGCCCAGAGTGCCCCCCTCTGGTGAGGCACAAGACTGAGCATTTGCTGTCAGGCCAGGGTACAGCAGCCCTGATGCCCCAATGGTAGGACCCCACTAACAGGCCAATCCCCCAGGGGCGCCCAGTTCAGTTCCAGTACAAGCTCCACTCCAAACTGGTTTATTAAGAGATACAGCAGTGCAGGCTGCCCAGCAGGGGGAGCTGCCGGGCCTTTAATCCTCCTCTTCCTCATCCGCCCCACCGGCGCCGCCCTGCCCCTTCTTGGCGTTCTTCCTCTTGACGCGGCCAGGCCGGCCGCCCCCGTAGGGCGAGCGCAGCGAGAAGTCGATGTGCTTCTGCGAGTCCAGGCGCACGATGAAGGACGGGATGTTCACGACCTGCTTCCGCACACTGGGGAAGGGGAGAGGGGTGAGGGCAGGCACGGGAAACCACCTACCCACAGTGCTCTGGGGCAACAGGACCCGGATCAGGATTTAACATGCAACCCCCGGGGCAGATGCCCCACCCCTTTGCCATCTTGTAGCTCCTCCCACAGACCCTCCCCAGAGCCAGCTGCACCTAGATACCAGGGTCCCCTCCAAGCCAGCTCCTGCTGGTACCAGGTGTGAATCCAGAGTCACCCAAAGAAAAGGGGTGACCTCTGGATTGATGCTAGGGCAGTAGAGATCAAAACCCAGCCCTGCCCCCATTGCAAAAGAGGAGCGACTCCAGATTAACACCAGGGGAGCCGAGATCAGAACCAGGTCCCACTGAACCAAGCTCCATTACCAGGCAGCCCTGGGATCCAAGCCCCGTTTGCAGGCCCCTCCCAGCGTGGGGCAGGGAGCCGCCGGTGGCTCGTTACCTGTGCAGCAGCCCCGAGCGCAGGGGGCTGGTGGAACGGCCTTGGCCCTTCGCAAGGTGTACGGCTCTGCCGCAGTGAACCTTGCCGACACGGGCAGCCCTACCGCCCGCTAGCCGGAGCGCAGGCTTAGACCGACTGGGGGGGGCTCCCCAGGCCCACTGGGCAGGGGGCTCCACGCGCCTCACAGGCTCATCCAGGAGGGCTACACAACACAGCAAGAGCAAAGCTTTAGGCACGGGGAGGGTAGGAGCAACAGCCAAACTCCCCACGTCCTTGGGATCAGCTTTGCCCTGTGTCTTCGGCGGGGTCAGTCACCGAGAACGGGGCCACTGACCTGCCTGCCACACGGCCCCTTCCCGAACGAACCCACCCGGGGGGAGCTACTGCCTCAGCCACCCAGCACGTACAGGGGACAGAGCCAATCACTGAACCCAGGAGTCCTGGCTCCCAGCCCCAACCCCTGCTGTAATCCACTAGACCCCCCCTCCCTCCCCTCTCCAAGGCAGGGAGAGAAACAAGGAATCCTGGCTCCCAGATCCCACCCTGTGTAACCCCACTAGACCCTCCTCCCCTCCCCGAGCCAGGGAGAGAACCCAGGAGTCCTGACACACACACACAGCCCTACCGGATGTGTCTCTGGCGGATCAGCACCCGGGCGTGGTGGATGGACTTGGCCAGGCCCAGTTTGAAGACCTGGGTCTGGAGGCGCCGCTCCAGAAAATCCTCAATCTTGAGGCCCAGGATATAATCCAGCTTCATCTTGCCCTCGTCCAGCACCCCAATGCGCACCAGCCGTCGCAGCAGGGCATTGCCTGGGGGGGGTTGGTGGGCCAGGGGGGGTTACCCCCGGGCCCCCCCCCCTCCCCCCCCCCCCCCCAACAACTTCAGACAGCTGCTGGGACCAGCTCCCAGCACCCCCCACCATGCCACCCCCACCCCCCGTGCCCCACCCATCCTGCCCCCTTACCTTCAAAGAGGCGCTTAGGGTCTTTCTCGTCCAGCGTGAGCAGCTCGCGGGCCGCCTTGCGGATCTTGGCCAGGGTGAACTTCACCCGCCAAACCTCACGTTTGTTCCGCAGCCCGTACTCGCCTGGGGAGGAGCAGGACTGTTACCAACAGGGACAACAAGCAGCCACCTCTGGGGTGGGGCACAGGGACTGGTTATATAGGGACCCCTAGCCCAGCGCTGGGACGCAGTTCAGGACTGTATCCCACTGACTAGAGAGGCAGCAGGTTGAACATTGCTTGGACTAATGGAGTTAAATCTCCTAAAGATCAGAACATAATTCTTGGGCCATTAATGCTGTGTCTAACAAAGCCAGCTGCATATGGTGGCACAGCGCCCCCTAGTGCCAGCCCTGACTGCCAGGGGAGAGCACCCTTGCCGCCCCCCCACCCACGCTGAGCCCCAGGCAGGCACCAGCCTGAGCCCCCGCCCTGCCCCCCAAACTCACCAATGAGCTTCAGCTCCTGGTCGAGACGGGATTTCTCAAAGGGGCGCCGGGGGGTGACATAGGTTTTCCGGCACACCCAGCTCCTGGCAACGGGCATCCTGGCCGAGGCTGTGGGCTCTGGCCCTGGGGGGAGAGACAGAGGGAATGAGCCAGGGAGAGACAGGACAACTCTGCTCCATCCCCACCCGTCCCCAACCAAAGCACATGGGGCCTTGATCCTCCAGCAGCCACCCCACGAACCCAGGGCGCAGCTTATCCCGGGGGGCCCCGGGCTGTGAACTTCGGTCACCCCCATCTTCCCTGCCTAAGCCCCCAGGCTCACACCCCATGCCGGGAGCCCCTGGTGGGTGCAGTGGGATCAGCCCACACAAGCTGTGAAGCCGGGACCCACTAGCACTCAGAGGGGCCGTCCTTGCGGTGGGTCTGGACAGCACCGAGCGCAGCAGTTACCCAAATAACCCACTGCGGGTGCCACCGACCCCGAGCGGCCTGACCCGCGTGACAGGCCCCCGGGGCGAGGGCCCCAGGCCCGGGCAGGCAGCGGAGCTCAGCGCCCCAGCCCGCAGCAAGGCCGGGGCCGACGGGGGCGGGGGGGGGGGGGGGTAGGGCGTGTGCTGGGTGCAGGAA